GGCGAAATCCAACACAGAATTCTGCGGCTTCGTATTTTCAAGTTTACGCGCACTGTGAGTTTCGTAAGCTTCTCGAAACTACAAATTTTGCATATCAATGCGCGCGGCTACACACTACATACCCTCCCTTCCTCACCTCAGTCAACTCGATAAATGACTCTCTCCCTCTCTCTCTCTTGCCTCTTCCATTCTAAAACCCCGGCGTCGAAATCCCCTCACCACCATCTCTTCCTTCCGCCAGTATTCAAAGTGTTGGCGCTCCCATCAATGGACCGAAAACCAAATTCACTATATATATATATATATACATATCACATGCGGGAATGGGTATCGCTCTCTCATTGTTATCTACACCTCGCAGCGATAATATTCCCGCCGCCTGAATTTGCAATTATAATCTGAATTGTGGATACGATCAGTAATTAAAAATTGTTTTTTTTTTTTGGATTGATGTTTTTTCCTTCATGGAGGAATTGTTACGTTTTATGGCATATAATAGGCGGGGGGAAAAAAACCCTAAAGTCGTTAAAATCACTCGAGAACCTTTAAAAAGCCTAAAAGATTTGAAAACGCCGAAATCTTAGAAATTATATAATTTCTAGAAGCATTTAAAAATGCTAAAACTCTTTAGAATCGTAAACAAACTGATGAATCCATAAAAACCCTAAAACTGATAATTCTGATAATTCTTCAAGCTGATAACCCATATGAAGCTTTGGAATACTTAAAATCTTTGAAAACCTTAAAAATCCTAATATACCTCTAAAAACATTTAAAAACCTCAAAATCCACAACAACCCTAGAAAATTCACAAAATTTTAGTACTTAATAATTCCTTAAAACCCTTAAAATTTCTAAAACTCTTTAGAATCGTAAAAAAACCCAAAAAAACTGATGAATCCTTAAAAACCCTAAAACTCGTGATAATTCTTCAAGCTGATAACCCATATAAAGCTTTGAATATCTTAAAATTTTCAAAAACTCTTAAAACCTTAAAAATCCTAATACCTGTAAAAACATTTAAAAACCCCAAAATCCATAATAGCCCTAAAAAATCCTAAACATTTAAGTACTAAAATTGTTGAAAACCTTTAAAATTTCTAAAACCGAACCCTTGGAAATCCTAAAACATGTTATTATTTAATTAATTAGATTATCATAAAATGTAAAGATTAGGAAACCAAAAATTGGTAAAAAAAAAATTATAATCGGTTCGTGTAAGTAATAAATCATTTAGAAATCTCACATAAGCCTCGGTATATCTTTCTCTCTCTCTCTCTCTTCCTCTGCATTAGTGTTCACGAAATATTTCGCAGGCGCGCTATTACACACCTGGTGCGCGTATACACTTTGCCTCTTCAATTGCACCCGATTCGCCGATATAATTTGCAGAGGGATATAAACTGGAGAGGTCTTGAATGTTCATGACCACGCCTTAAGGGGGTCCAGGTAGTGCATAGCACCAGGTGGTATGTATATATATATGTATGTATGTATGGATCCCCCAGGGGGAATTGGTCAACGTCTCCAATATAACCACATCCCATTGTACTAAGCATATGCGACATATACCAAATTAATTACTTGACATAATGGTCCTAGGAAAAGCCAGAGTTTAGCTATATATACCTATATGGGAGGATTTCTCACGCGCGTTATAGTTCTCTCTCTCTAGATTCTCCGAATTTTAGGTCAAGTTGGGATCTTCTATTTATATATGGTCGATTTAGATGGAAATCTTTCTCGAGTAAATATGCTTTAAAGAATATATCTTAGAACCAAAGTTTATCGAAATGAGTTTCTCAATAAGAAACTGGATGGTAAAAATTTTTTTATGTATCCACCGAAGAATTTATTTGCTGACAATAATTAGTACAGAAAAATTTACTGGTAGTTGCTAATAGAGGTACTGGTAATAATACTAGTAATAATAATAATACTGTAATAATACTAATACTGGTACAGATACTCAATTTTTGGTAGGAAATTAATGAATATTATTATTTTCGTAAACAATGGTTGATTAAAATCTCTCTAGACTTTGGAATTCTCGAATCAAAATTGTTGGAGTTTAATGACCCAAACGCGGTTTTGTAAATGTTAAAAATTATTTTCTCACCAAAAGACAGAAACAAGACATGGGAACATGAGAGGTGGGGGTCAGAGGTGAGGTGCCGACAGACTGCAAGTTGGTTTCAAGTAACAACCTGTCCAGCGCGAACAGAGAGAGAGAGAGAGAGACTGGAAACGTCGTATGAAACTGGCGGTAACGATCTTCAAAGGCGCCTTTGGTGTACCTTTCGAGATGCTGACTACACAACCTTCACGGAAGAACACGTCCGCGACTTTCGCGTTTGTCGACTCTGGCATGCCACACTACCGAGAGAGAGAGAGAAGAACACATTGTTAACGAGTCCTCAGAGACTATGGACCTTTGACGTGAGACATTAACGTTCATCCAAGTGCCACCGACTTTTGGTCAATAAAAAAAAACCCCCCATTATCACCTTTCGACTTCAATTTTTTAAATCCTAATTTCTTTATTAAACAGTGAGAATTTCTATTAAATTGAGTTCATTCATATTTAGCGAATAGAAACCCAATCAGAAATTATCTACTAATACTGGTACAGATATTGGTATAGGTACTGAATTACTGATACAGATGTACCGCGCCAGTACTTTGCCAGTAATCAATTTTTGATAAGGAAAAATAGTCCTACATACAGAAATTCACATGACAATAGAATCTTAATAAAAACGATGACGAGGCGATGATTTTGCAATGATGAAGGTGTCTCTCAAGCTGAATGAGTTTGCGAAAAGTTTTTGACTCGTGAGATGATGAGGAGGAAAAAAAAATGATATCCGAAAGGCTGATTATTATTGTTGAAGGTAATATAAATTTCTTAGAGAGAGAAAGAGAATTGTTGAAACCACATTTTGAGCTTTAGGATAAATTTTAGGATGCAATGAAGAGCATCTGTTATGAAATTTGAATAATCCCTCCATCCCCCTCCGATGCAAATCCCTCTGTAATCTGACCACCACCGTAAAGGTTTTGGGCGTCGAAGGGTATGAAGAAGCGAGAAGGCAAGGGTTGAAAATTCAGCTCAGGATTCACTGAATGTACTTAGCGTGTTGTCAGTGTAACAAGCTTTTGAAGCTTCACAGGTCAAGAGCTTCTATAAATGTTTACTCGAGGTTTACAAAAGCATTTTGTATTTTGTAACTGAAACACCATATTTATAAACTAAAACTTTTTCTAAATAGAAAATTTATTTTATTAATTTGAAACAAAAAAAAAATACCACATCAATTGATGCTAAATTCATCAGGTATATATAATATATATGTATATGAAGAAGTAATTTCAATAAGATAAATTACCCATTCGTGAAAGCGATTAAACGTCTGGGTGGTAACTGGGTTTAATTACACAAGCAGATAATATGGATTCGTATATAGTTAATTAGATAATTAAAACTTGAAAAGCGAATTGCTTCGTGCTATATATATATATATACATATATAGATTGACGGTTGTTGTGAGTGTATTTCAAAAGTTACAAAATTAATGGTTATACTAATGAAATTGAAACTGCCAATATTGTTGGAATGAAACTTATCATCATCATCATCATCTTTTTTTTCGAAAAATAATTCCAAGTTTTGACTTTTCTCTCTCTAGCACACGATTCATTGGAGAACAGAAAAAGAGAGAGAGAGAAAAAAAAACCAAAAAGGAAAAAAAAACACTCGAGTGGTTACTGGGAAACCAGAAACGAACCGAAAGAGACTTCCCAGGGACGTTCAGGTACCAATTATATAGAATGGGATTTCTCGCTCGAGTGATAATTACGATCGTGGTGTATGTGTATGTGTGTGCTCCAGTTGTCAGCGGGACGAGTCTTTGAATTTATCTTCTTCTATTGGCAAACGTGATCTGTTTTCTTTTTTTTTTTTTTTTCTTTGGAAAAAGACAAAACTCCTTCTAATCAGGAACACAAATTTTGACGCAAAAGTTCAATTATTTCAGTTGAATGAAAACTAGAAAACCAAAAATTCTTGAAAAGCGAAGAATGAAAATCTTGAAACTGTTAAAAACGCAGAAACTTCTGTAAACCGTTCTTGTGAATTGTTTCTAAACGATCAGCAAACCCTGATATTTTTGAAACTTTTGGTAACCCTAAAAATTAGAACGAAAAACTAAAAGCTTCTAAAACTCCTAGAAGGCAGAAACAACCTGAAATCTGTAAAAAGCCTAAAACTCTCGGAATCTTTAAATTCTTTGAGGACTCCTAAAAAGGCTAAATCTCTTGGAATCCTTAAATTCTTAGAGAACTCCTAAAAAGCCTAAAACTCCCGGAATCCTTAAATTCTTTGAGGACTCCTAAAAAGCCTAAAACTCTCGGAATCCTTAAATTCTTTGAGGACTCCTAAAAAGGCTAAATCTCTTGGAATCCTTAAATTCTTTGAGAACTCCTAAAAAGCCTAAAACTCTTGGAATCCTTAAATTCTTTGAGAACTCCTAAAAAGCCTAAAACTCTCGGAATCCTTAAATTCTTTGAGGACTCCTAAAAAGGCTGAATCTCTTGGAATCCTTAAATTCTTTGAGAACTCCTAAAAAGCCTAAATCTCTTGGAATCCTTAAATTCTTTGAGAACTCCTAAAAAGCCTAAATCTCTTGGAATCCTTAAATTCTTTGAGAACTCCTAAAAAGCCTAAATCTCTTGGAATCCTTAAATCCTTTAAGAACTCCTAAAAAGCCTAGAAACCTTAAAAATCTAAAACCCTTAAGACCCGTTAAAAACCCCAATGTTCTTATAAACCCCTGAAAGCTCTGAAACCCATATAAACCCTTGGAAAAAGTCCCTGGCCTTTTTGAAGAATCTTTAAAAAAGAAAAAAGCCTAAAAATTAGAAAAAAGAAGAATTAGAAAAAATAAACCACCAACTTCTGCTGCATATATACTAAAGGATAAAATTATTTTTGTTACAGACACAAGAGAAAAGTGCAAAATCTATTGCCATGCAAAAGTGCAGCGGCCGCAGCGGCACGTGGACGTCTTCCCGATGGTGGTGGACATCCTGGTACGGGACATTTGGGGAGCGCTGTACTCTACGAGGATCTACCTGATACTGTGTCCCATTCGCAGCTACACAATCATCATACACATCCAAGTCAGCCAACGATCGAGGTACGATCAGCCACAAATCTCGATCACCGACAGCAACAACAACAACAACAACATCTACAACTACCACCTCCACCACAACTACCATTACTACCTCCACGTTTACCGCCACGCGCACCCGCGCCTCACCATCTCGACTATCTTGATTATCGAGATCCCCGTTCAATTCTTCGTGTTGCCGATAAACCCTCGAGAGCAGTACTCGGTGGTTATCGAACACCTCGCGCCCTTCTTGCCAAATCCCAAGGCGTACCCCTAACCATTGCCTCCCAATCTTCCACCATACCATCATCGTCCGCCCTTGAGAATAATCTTCTTCTCACAAGTCAAAATGCCCTCATCACTAGCAATAATAATAATAATAGTAATAATAATCATAACATCGATCATAGTGCCCTAACGACATTATTAAATCCCCAAGATTCAAATATTTATCTAAATGTACCCAATAGTGAATGTCCAATAACACCAACTCATAGGCCACGTATGCAAACTCCAACACCACCAAATCGTAGATTAATACGAAGACCATCAGTCGATTCAGAGGGTTATTCATTCATTGATTTTAGACAATCGGAACAAATTAATAATGGTGAGGCGAGAATAATACGACAGCCATTACGTGCTAATAGAACAATACAAAGACTTGTCTCAAGTTCAAGATCAAATTCCATTGATTCAGAGGGTTATTCAATTATTGGTATGGGTAATAGAAGGGGACCGGGCTCAGCGAGAAGAATAACATCCGATGGTACTGAGGAGGAGGTTTGTCCTCTTTGTACAATGCAACAAATTCATGATCTTCTCGCAAGACCCGAGGAAATTTATCTTGATATTCGGGACACGTGACCCAGATCGGAGAAAGTTGTCGTCTCCTAGAAAATTGGGAGAGAAGGATGAGAGAGGAAGAAAAGGAGCTCGATGACAGAGCTGATGGTATATATATATATATATATAGTATATAGGGATGAGTGTATTTCGAGTCAAGGATTTACTTGTAATTGAATTACTTTCAAAAGACTATAGCTTTTAATTTAAATACATAAAGTCAATTTATAATTTCTAGAGTCAAACTCATTATCTAAAAGTGGATCCTAGCAACTCTCCTATGTATATATAATTGGATTAGCTGCGCTCAACTTCCTTTAAAGATCAATAAAATTACTAATAGTTCCTAATTTGACAGACGAATTCGAGAAAATTATCCAAATATCATCTAAGATGTATTTTTTTCATCATTTAGAGATAAAATTAGAGGGTTTAAATATTTACAAAATGTTTTTTATTTTTTTCTGTGTCGAAAATCGAAAGTCTATGCAAAAGAAAAGGATAGATATATTTTTTTTCCTTTTCTAATGCATTGTACATGTGAATTCAACCTATAGCAGGGTTGGGTAACTTCTAAAAAAAACGACAAAAACGCTCAGCTAAAATTTATAAAGGCTGTTCTGCAATACTTTTTTCGTAACGTTTATTTTGAAAATTCAACAGAAAACTTTTTTTTTGGTAAAATAAAACAATTTTCTATTTTTGCAGTAAAATTTACGAATCATAATTTTGGGGGAAAATTTTTGATATTAATGTAAACTTGTCATAAGAGGGGAAAATTGTGATACATTTTCCGCCATCTTGTGAAACAAGCAGAAAGTATAATTTGACATTTCGTAAATTTTACTGTGCGCCTTGCTTTGAAGTGAACATAACCTTATTAAAAAAGAAAATTTATTCAAATCGACAAACGTAAATGTAAATAACGGCGTAAATTAAAAAAAAAACGTGAAAGGTATTTTGCTTTAAAGTAAACATAACCTCACTAAACAAGAAAAGTTTGACTAAAGCCTTATTCACAAGTTGACGAACGCAAAGTATGAGATAGAAAAGAATAGAAATATTTTTTTATTTCTCTCTCGTATTTCACGTTCCAATTTAAAATCGTGAAAAATTAACGTGAGATAGAAAAGAATAGAAGCTACTTCTGTCTTTTTCTAACACATTCTTAGTATTTATTAATTTACGTCACAGATTCTTAATATTATTAACATCTATTTGCAAACAAAACCATTAAATTTTGAGGTTATGTTTCAAATATTGTCAATAAATTACGATTCAAAATTGAGGTTACGTTTTGAATATAAATTAGCGATTCAAAATTGAGGTTATGTTTCGAATATTCTCAATAAATTCAAAATTGAGGTTATGTTTCAATTAAACGTCAAAGCAAAAGTCATAATTAGAAAATCGTTTCTTTTCAATACGAGAACCAAAAAAAAAAAAATTAATTTTCGACACGTGAAACATAACCTTTTGTGACATTTTGCCCTACTTTTTTTTAATAATTCAATTTAAAAAAAAATCAGCTCTGCCATCGAGAAATACAAAAAGAAAGTCCTTTTATTTTTGTCAATTATCATCCGGGCGAATAGCGAATTAGCTTAGCTTTTACACACTTTGCCTATTTCCTAGATGCAATAGTTTTCAAAAGCCAAGTTTGCAAAGGGAATTTTCCTTCAGTGGCTATTTTTTCTTTCTTTTTTTTTTTTTTTTTGCTGATTGCTGATTGTATCCAGCTATAAGGAGTTGTGTGTGATTCGCCTTTATTCTCCCGGGGAAAAAATTCCATTTAAAGAAACACTTGGAAATTCGAATTTGTATAGAAAGGGGTAAAAGGGGGGCGGAGGGGTAATATCGTACATATCCGTGCAAAGATCGCGGCGTTTTCTCTCACAGACAATCTTACATTCCCGCGACTATTCATTTCCCTTTGGGAAGGGGGAAAAAAATTAAATTGTCCATTGAAATTGCCTCAAATCCTTTTGCAAAAAAAAAAAAAAAAAAAAAAAAAATTTGAAAATAATTTTTTTTTTTTTTTGAAAAACAAGGGTTTTGAGATTTTCAATGGTATATTGTGACGCTCACAAAGTCGACTAGTCAGTATTTTTTTTCGCTAATAAATTCAATTGTACGTGTGCTTATGCAAAAATTCAATTCAATTCAAAAAATTGAAATTAAAAAAAATTTTCTTTAACAGCAAAAAAAAAATTGTAATTTAAAAAAAATGAATTTGAATTTTCGCGCCATGAAACTCGTAAATTTGGAAAACGCAAAATATTTTGTAGGTTAGGTTTGGCGGGAAATTCAAATTTCATTTTTTAAAAAAAAATTTGATTTTCATTCCCTTTTTGCTAAAGCACAAGTTATAATTGAATAGCGAAAAATTTTAATTAAAAAAAAAATTGTAAATAATCGCAAATCTATATTGTTGTAAATATCGTGTAGAAAGAAAAAAAAACATAGAATTAAGCGCGAAATGCCAAGAATTCTGGACCGTTTTCAGAATGAAATAAAAAAAAAAGATTCTCTTATAATGAAAATATTTCATTAAAAATTTTTGAATTTATTTAAAAATAAATTTATATAGAAAATAACAAAAAATTTCCAAAATAAAAAAAAAATTAATATTTTTCGAAATTTAAAAAAAATTCGTGAAAAAATTATTTATTCGTGATAAAAAGAATCTCAATAATACTGAGAACGGTCCCGGTTTTTTTTAGATTATAATACGCGAAAAAAGAGGTACAAGTTTCTATGTTGTAAAAAAAATCGACACTGCAGATTATTGTTTTCTTTATAGTATTATTATTATTATTATTATTATTTATTAATATTGTTAAAGTCTTTGTCGTTAACGACGAGGTCCAAAACTATATATGTCATTTTTTGTAAATAATGAATGAATGTGTATGATATGTCCGAAAATTTTGAATGTCGTGTAAAAAAAATTTTTTTTGAGAAAGACGAAGATGAGATTATTAAAAAAGGAAAATAAAATTACTTTGCTGAAAAAAATTTGACAAGGAGTGGTTATTAACCCGGTCCATCGATATCCCATCCTGCATCCAAATCCTTATTTTTAAATTGAGATTTACTAATTTAAGAATAAAATTTTTTTTTTTTCTAAATTATAAATAATTAAAAGAAAATTATTCATAAAATATTTACTTTAAAAAAAAAGAAAATTATTATATATTTACATTAAAAAATAGAAAATTATTTCCAAAATATTTAATTTAAAAGAAAAACAAGTTTTATTTAAATAAAAATTTAAAAAAAAAATTTTTTTAAATACATTTTTTTTTTTAAAAAAGAGTTAAAAAATAATATATGGAAAAAGTGAGAAGAACTGACGAAATCAAAAATAGAATTTTTTTTCTTCTTTTTTTTTTGTTACAAAATGAGATAAGAAACGTCCGTGAGAAGACAAAAAAAAATGTGTACTTCGTGGACACGGAATAACCACTTCTGTGTTCAAACTTTTTCTGGGCAAAATGATTCACTTTTCGGTATAGAAAAAGTAACTTTAAAAGGTTTCACTATATACAAAATGAATCTCTCGTCATATATAAAAAAAAAGTCGAAATTTTACCCGCTTTGAATTTCTGTTGCAAATTTAATCCAACGAGTGGAAAAAATCATATTTTTTTTTCTAATTTTTCCATTAGATTAAAATTGCATTTTTTGCTTTTTTATTTGACTTTTGTTTCAATTTTTTTTTTTTATTATTTCATTTTACATTTGATTCGTTGATTTTTCTAGTTTTTGTAGTTTTAAACTTAGTTCCGTTAACTTTTATATTCTTTTTTTCAATTTTTTTTTCATTATTTTTACGATATTGTTTTTGAAATTTGTTTTCTATTTTATATTCTTTAAATTTGAATGTTTAATATTTTTGTTTTTATTTATTTTATTTATGTTTTTAAATTTCTAGTAATTTTATATAAAAAAGCAATTTCAAATTTATTTGTTTACACATTATTTTTTATTTTTTTAATTAATTAATTTATTAATTAATAAGATTAAAAAATTTTAGTTATTTATTTTCATTTCAAATTTTTAATAATTTTTTCACTTATTTGAACTACATTTTTTTTCTCTTGTTTATTTTTTTATTAATTTTTTTATTTAAATATAATAATAATAATAATAATAATAATAATAATAATAAT